ATTGATTTAACCTGTTGGTCCAATAACACCATGTTTAATTGACCTTACACTCAATTTGCTTTAATGAGCTTATACTTCTCTGTCAAATAAACATAAAGAACTTTTATCCAGCATAGATAATTTTCTTCCACCCAAATTAAATTTTTTTCACTTTAGTGTAGACTTGGAAACTTGAACTTTCATAAGGAAGTAAAACAATAAAACTCAATGATATTTTTGTTTCTTTTTTTCCCCAACTGGATATGCAATAGTCTAAACAAGAGTTTCTCCATGATACCTTTTGTTTTATTCATATTCTTGCCTGGAGACATTCAGGAGGCTTTCAGTCATCTATTAGTCAATAATTTCCATTTGTTACATGTTAATTCATTCCTTAGTCCTTTGTATGAGTGGAAACTGTGACAAGTGCATTGTTGGTGCCAGGCCAGATTGTATCTCTTTTATTTGCACATACAGGCCTATAAATTGAGAATTAGTCCCATCAGCTTCAGCTCTGTGCTCAGCCTAAAGAAGGCTGTCAGACCCTAAATCACAATATGTCAATTTTGATCAAGGGTAATGAGGAAAACCACATTTGTCTTTAAAAGGCTGGCTTGGTTTTTTTTTAATTTATTTTTTCCTGGTGGGAGCTGTTTTCATGATCTCTCAGCTACTCCTGAGTGATGGATCTTGCCCACACAAGGTCCACAGACATGGGAATTTGCAATAGGATAGTGAATCTCATCTGTTGATCGTGGAGAATGCAGAGAAACTTTTGGAAGGTCCTGGAGGACAGGATAACTGTTCAAGTTCACACTGTGAAAATAAAAATAAAAAATAAAACTGTGTCTAATTGGGGCCAATTTATAGGATACAGGGTATCATTTATTCACAGTTGAATTTTATAGAATGAATATTTTATGAATTGTATTCGTGTGCCTGATGTCAGTGATTGTATGATGGAATTACAAGTTTTCAGCCCCTAGGATGGCCAGGCTGGAGGTGTTTCTGTGCATCCTGTGGGGTGTCCCAGGGAAGGGTTGGTGGGGGAAGCTGCCACTCCAAGGCTCTGCAGAAACAAAGGACTGTGCTGGAGCTCCTAGGGAACAAATCCCTTTAAACAAAGTATGAGTTCTCTTCTCTGGCAGAGATGGCTCTGTAAGTGGAAATTTTTCATTTTTTCCACTGTTATAAAATAATAGCTCTTATCAGGACTTTCCCTGAGAAAGTTGTGTTTCTTCTAATACTCCTCCTGTATCTCTACACACATTGTATTAAAAAAATATATGCTATAAATAGGAAGCTGGGAACAATTTATCCATGACAACTGTTTGCAAGGATATTTTTTTTAGTAATTAAGACTTATTATTTTGATAAGTGCATTTTGGTGGATGGATATTCTCCTTGTTGGTGTTGTCAGTCACTGGATTCAGGCTCCCCACTCTCCCCAGAATTGTCAGCAGTTGCACAAAAGGCCACGAATAGCTTGTGATTCATTTTATTGTGGGTGGCGAAAAATAAAATTGTAATTATTGCTTGGAACTTTTTTATAAAAGCTGATGTTTTCTCTCCCAGAGGAAAGCTCGTTATTTTTATATATGGATCCGTAAAAGTGAAATACTCCCTAACTTTTGCTGTCATTGAAGCTCTTACCTCCCCCAGTGCAGTTCAAGCCTGCATTGTGTTAGACACAGCACAGATCAGAGTGGTTCTTTAGGGCAGGATAATCTACATATTATCCAAATGAAAAAGAGAAGAGTTGAGAGGCATGCCCAGAAGTGGAATGCTGTGCCAGGTGCTGTGCAGCCAATTATGGTGTAAAAATCCCTTTTCTTTGGTCTCTCCCCAGTGTGGGAGACACTGGGTCAAACCCCCTGTGAAGGCACAGGGGTTCCTGGAATGATTCTGGGCTGCCCCTGCCTCCTCCAGGGTGGGATCTGGCACAAGGAGAACTTGTCTTCCTTGTACTCAAGTGGCTCTGAAAAGCTTCAGGCAGAGCAGTTCCCAGCAGCTGCTGGGCTCCTCCAGACCAGACTATCCATACTCAGCAGTTTTTGGGGTCTTACCTCCCAAATTCTCTGCACAGGAGTGGTTCTCAGCAGCTGTGTCCTGACGGAGATCCTGGAATCCCAGGATGGTTTGGGTTGGGAGGGACTTTAAAGCCAATCCAGTGCCACCCCTGCCATGGGCAGGGACACCTTCCACTGTCCCAGGCTGTTCCAGCCCCAATGTCCAACCTGGCCTGGGACACTGCCAGGGATCCAGGGGCAGCCACAGCTGCTCTGGGCACCCTGTGCCACATTTTTTCTTTTTTTCTTTGTGTTTCAGACCTCCAAACCATTAAAAGGCAGACACTTTTAAGGTGATTAATACTGCATCTTCCAAATGCCTACCCTTACAGGGAACAATTCTTTCCCAATTTCCAATCTAAATCTCCCCTCCTTCAACCTAAAGCCATTCCTTACTGTCCTGTCCATCCATCCCTTGTCCCCAGTCCCTCTCCAGCTCTCCTGGAGTCCCTTTAGGCCCTGGAAGGGACTCTGAGCTCTTCCTGGATCCTTCTTTTCTGCAGGTGAACCCCCCCAGCTCTCCCATCCCAGCTCCAGAGCAGAGGAGCTCCAGCCTTTGTGGATCTGGGTGTCACAATCAGCCTTCCCAAACCTGGCTGGGTCAGGTTCCCAGCCTCTGCCTTAGCTGGGCTGCCTCTCCAAACCTGCTGGCACCTCTGCTTTCTGACAATAAATGGTCTCAGGTCATAGAAACAAAGCCCACATTTCAGTTTCTCAAAAGTTTGGTTTCTATTAGTAGATTTTAAAGGGTAGTGTGTATTACATTCCATGCTGAAGAACGGGATTTTATGGCTGACTGGGAGCAGAGTTACACCAGCAATGGACATTTGTCAGGATCCTCGTTTTTAGAGAGAAACCAGAAAGTTTGGATTCAGTTCTAACATTTCTCCAAGTCTTTGCTATGATTCTAGAATTTCTTGCCTTGGGACCATTTTGTTTATTGTTTTTCCTTCATTTCCACTGACAGGCAGCATTGCTAGAGACCATCTTGTCTATACATTTTCTTACAGTCTCTTCCTCTTCCCCAGCTGTGCTTGCATTGTGCTGGAATTTTCCAAGGTCTTTAGAGTGTGTAACTTTTTTTTTTTTTTCTGAAAGATTGACTTCCTCCTGTCAATCCTTTACAAAATTCATATATATATCATATAAACACGGGGAAAAAAAATCTTCTGAGAGAAAGTTGCTTGTAGCTGTTATAAATTTCTAATACATGACTGTTCACTGCACAGAATTGATCCAAATGTTTGCCTGGCTCCTGCTATGCAGGAGTCACCTGCTATGGTGAGGAAGAGGGAAAGTCAATAGGTTGGAAGTGAGGCAGGGCTTTTCAAACTCAATCTGCTGTGAATTGTGAGAGGACAGCAGACAAACACATCTGTAGCATGGCTTGGCAGCAGCACCAGAGCCAGGAGTGTCAAGAGGGCTGTGTTTGATTAAACATTATCAAGCCTGGCTGCTGACACACAGATTCCCCCTGCCCCATCCCGGTGTTTTCTTTAGTTCTTTCTGAGTGTGAATATCTGCACCCACATAAAGGAGATCCTGTGGCCAGAATTGAATCAAATAACTCTCATCATGTTCTCCTTTATTGCTGACATTCGTCTCCTTGATGCATCTGTGAGGAGATGAGTGGAGACACAATGTGCTATAAAATAACTGCTTGATGAATCCAAATGTGAGTTCAACATCAAGTGCCACGGTTAATATGATGCAGAATTCCAGGTTAACAAACTCATAAATTGCCTCACTATACATTTCCCTCCCTAAATTTAGCCTGCCCTTCCCTCCCACAAGAATTATTGTCCTGTTGCATTATTACCAGTAATGACGTTGCTGTTCTCTCAACAGCCCTCACTTGGTTGGGCTCTGAAGATTGAGGGTTTTCTTAACATGACTTTCAAATATTCAGGTGCCAGGGTTCACAGTTATGGAAGTTGGGGCCATGCAGGCAAATATCAGCTGAGAGCTTGCTCCATTGTAGATTTTGTTTGAATCATAGAATTGTTAAGGTTGGAAATGACTTTTATAGAGCATCAAATCCAACCATCAACCCAACAGCATGCTCACCACTCAACCACATCCTCAAGCACCACATACAAACATTCCTTGAACACTTCCAGGGATGGTGACTCCACAGTCTGTTCCAGTGCTTTGCAACACTTCCCATGAAGAATTTTTTTCCTAATATCCAAACTAAACTCCCCTGGTGCAACTTGAGGCTATTCCTCTCATCCTGTCACTTGTTACCTTGTACTGAATGTGCCTTTGGGGGATGGTGTGCAGCAGCAGAACCTGGTTGTTGCTTGAAATGGGAATGTGCTTTGTTTAGACTGACTGTGTGATCACAAGGTGATAAAACAATACAAGCAAGACAGTATTTCTATTTTGATTTGCAAGTTATTTAATTGAAGGTGTTCTAGCTAGTCCTGCATCTACTGGTGTGTATACATATATATACCCTGCAATTTGAATATCCTTTCTCTCCCTAACCACTGGCATCACGCAGCTGGTTCCTTCAGAGGAATGGTTTGTTCTGTGGCTTGTGAGGGAACTGCTGAGCAGTTTACACTGAACATCCATCCAAACCCACTCTTTGTTTGTGGATGCTGGTGGGAGCCAGGGAAAACAGCAGTTTGAGTTTTCCCAAGCTACTGAAAGGAAAACAGAAGGGAAAGAATGAATAACAAAGTTTAGCACCGGGTGTTGTGGACAGGAGGAGTGCATGAGGAAAGTGATGTTTTGGTAAGAACATCTTTACAAGAGGTGTTGCCTTCCTTGGACCAATGCTCTTATTCTGCCCTTGGTTCAGCTAACCAGTCTATAAAAACGTGCCTACACCTGCAATAAATCCCTTCTTCTGCTTTCTGCATGAAGCCAGAAAGTGTCGCTGTATTTTTTCACCGCTCTTGAGCCACACAGTGACATTTGTTCCCTTTTTTCTTTGCTCTGCAGGCTCCTTCATGATGGTGAACAGCTCAGGGCGGGCCTCGGGGCAGAAGGCTCACCTGCTGCTGCCCACCCTGAAGGAGAATGACACTCACTGCATCGACTTCCACTATTACCTGGCCAGCCGCGACCGCTCCAGCCCCGGCTCCCTCAACGTCTACGTCAAGGTCAACGGGGGCCCCCAGGGCAACCCCATCTGGAACGTGTCAGGAGTGGTGACTGAGGGCTGGGTGAAGGCAGAGCTGGCCATCAGCACCTTCTGGCCACATTTCTATCAGGTAGGGGTTTGTGATATTCTCCCCTCTCTCTCTCTCTCTCTCTCTCTCTCTCTTTCTCTCCTTCGGATGTCTGTCGTTACATTTAAAAATCAACACCTCCCTCCCTGATTTTTCCTCTCAGAATAAATTCACCTATAGTGGTTATATAGGCAGCTTGACATATTTTTTCCCTCCTCACTTTTTTCCATTAGTTGTTGGCAGGCCACAGAGGGATGGATGGGAGGCAATTATTGACAAGACCCACCCATTCATAATGAAATTGCCTTTGTATTGGCACTTTCTGTGTGACTGTAAACAAAACAGTTTCTGGATGTGTATCTGTATGTTGGATCCCAGAAATCTGGAGTTTTTGAGGTTTGTGTGCTTCCAGCACAGACCCCCTGAAAAACACTGCTCTGGACCTGAAACCTTGGAGAAGGCTTGTAAATATGAATAATGAAATCACAAATGTGTAGTGGGTTAGATGTGTGTATTTTCACTGAGTGATGGGTTTTAAATTTGAGGTTTTTATAGTACAGTGGTTGATATGGGACAAGATGGAAAATTTGGAGTGGTGTCTTTTTCTTTGTTCATCTTCTTCCTTCTTCTTCATGGAACTCAGGCAGTGACCTTTGGTTGGTCAGTCAAATGTCACTCTAAGGGTCGTGGGAATCTGTTATTGGGTTAAAAGGATAAATAATGTAACTGTAAAACTTTTATTGGTTTAGCTTTAAAAGGCCTTGAAGCAGGCCCAGCTGTGGCCATTTTTCCTACTTCTAGCAAGGAGCTGGAGGTGCTGTCATCCTTTCTGTAATTTCTGATAAGATACAATAAACATCCAAGCCTGAACACGAGAATCACCTCAATCGTGTTTCTGTTAATCCTGGCTCTGAGGGAGAACAGAGACTGATGACAAAACACTCATGAGTGGGGCAAAGCCCAGCACACACCCTCACATCTGTACTCTGCATAAATCTCCCTGGATTATTTTTGAGCCTTGGTTGGTTCCATAAGAAGGAACATTTTTTGACATGGCTTTGCATCTTGTGCCCATAGGAGAGGTGTAAGGACATAAGGTACTGATAAATTCTTGTACCACAGTATCAAATATGGATATTCTTCACTAGATCTTCAGTTCCTCTTTCTCACACATCTTTATTTATTCTGTTAGAAGATTATTATTTTTAGACAAGAACAAACCAAGAAATGTAATGGCTACACCATTTTTTTGGTTATATTAGTTTTACACCTACTTATTAGTTGTCTGCTTCAAACTTCATGTTTGCAGCCATTGTTTTAATTTCAGTCAGATAATTCTCACACAATGGACTCACATACTCCTTTTTATTTGTTGAAGGAGTACTTTAGTCTTATTTTATATTCAACACACACACACACACCAAGAAAAGAAAGCCAGGGAGGCAATTGCATCCTAAACCTTGCAGGAGATTTGATGTCCATGTGATACTAATAAAAGACATGAGTGAGGTAGGGACCAGGGTAAAATGAACTATGATAAGGCAGCAAATAGTCTGTGTATAAAACCCAGCAGGTAGAAGAGCCTCTCTTTTTCTTGCTTCTAATAACTGGGTAGGAGGTCTGTAAAATCTGAGCTGGAGGAGGATGCTTTAATGTTCTGCCTCTGAAAGAGTGGTGGATACCAGCAGAACCCACAGAGTGCAGCAGGCAGGCGAGAGGGAAGGATAAAGAGATGCAAATGTGTGGAAAGTGGTGTTTTAAGGGCACTGCACAACTTGTGACTCTTCTGAAGGCACACTGGAGTGCTCCCACTCCATTCATATTAACGTGATCCTGGGCTTGAAGCACAATTTGCTTCATCGTAGGTGCTCCACAGAGATAACAGAAATGATCTTTCACCCAGAAAATCGGTGCCTGAAAAACCTGCAAAAGGCAGTCTGATCTCGCACTGAGAGGGATCCTGCTCTCAGATATATCAATAGGAGGCTTCCTGAGCCTCACTTAGGTCTTTTACAAGTACTTTGGCAGGTCAAGTTTGCTTTTTTTGGGCAAAAGAATCCTTTAAATCAAACAAGAATTTTCTCCTGAAGCACAAAAACGAATGGATTAGAAGGCAGTAATACCTGCCCAGGAGTAGTTCCTTCCTAGAAAATGCAAGGGGTTTCTTTTTAAATTTGTGATGAGTGAGTGTGATGTTTCCTTCTGGTCATACTTGTGTTTTTGTTCCTTAAGCATGGCTTTTAAAATTTCAGATCTGTCATGGATATTAGGGGGTCTAGTAGACTAATTTCAGTCTCTGGTTTTATAAATCACTTTTGTTAGTGGTCTGTAGTCCTGTGAGTTTCTACATTTAACCAAGGATTAAGAAAAAATGAAAATAAAAAAAGAGAACTTGAAACTTGAAAAAATGCAGAGGAAAAATTATTAGTATTTGCCAGCCTAAAGTAAAACTTCTGCCTAAATAAGTCCAGAGGTGGGAGGATGACAAAACCAGGGTGTTTTGCTCCCTGAGGAGTGACCTGTTTTTCACACTCGATCTAGAATGTGCCATTGCAGTTATTTAATGAAATCCTAGGAGGGCCTGGGTTAGAAGGGACCCCAATGGGATCTCATTCCACCCCCTGCCATGGCAGGGACACCTTCCACTGTCCCAGGCTGCTCCAACCCCAATGTCCAGCCTGGCCTTGGACACTGCCAGGGATCCAGGGGCAGCCACAGCTGCTCTGGGCACCCTGTGCCAGCCCTGCCCACCCTCACACTTGCCATTTCTTTGTCAGCTTTAAATCAAAATTGCATTCCTGGAGAAGTCTCTGTACACAAGAGGCCTGACAGCCTGCTCTGTATTTTGAAAAGACCAGGTAAAACCAACATTTTCCTTAAATATTGAAATCTACATCAGGCACAACACTGATCATCCTCTTAATGCACAGAAACCACACAATCCTGGATTGACAGGAGCATCCAAAATTCAGCCAACTGAAGCTCTCTGCCCTGGTCTGAGGCTTTGTCAAGTTCTTTGCACTTTGGGGATGTGGTTGGTGGAAAGCTGCTCTCCAGTTTTTACCCAACTGGTACCCAAAGCAGTTGCCAGAGGTCATGGTTTAGGTCTGGCAGTTCTGTGCCAGGGTCACAGGAGTCACCTGGCTGCAGAAGCACTTAGCTGAGACAGAAATGTGGGGAGATTTATCATGTCTACCCTGGAGTTAGTTGTACTTGCATTCCCAGCCTGCAAATGTTTTCCAGAGGAGCGAAAAAAAGCTCTAATGGTTCTTGGAGAAAGGTAATACGTGTAATCTTAAATTACTGCTTGCCATAAGGATGAACTCAGTCCCAGAATGCACCAAGGGCAGCACTAGAGCCTGCCAGGAAGGGTTTTTTTGATGTATAGCAAGGAATGTTATTGATCCATGCCTGGAGAAAGCTGTTGTAGCACAACAGATGAGCTGCTCACACAGACATTGTTGGTAAATCACAAAATACAGGGGCTTGTTCAGTGGCAAGGAAACATGAAATGACTCTGCATTTGCAGACCTCAGGAGCACTGAAGAATGATTTTTAAAGAGTGAAGCGTTGTATTTTGTCAACTGTATTAATTTCTGTGGAGTTATTTAAATGCAAAGCATTGTTAGTTTCAAAGCATTGCCTGCCTCAACCACCGTGCTGCATTTCCAACTGAATTTAAAAGGACATGAGTGAAACTGAGAGTGAGATTTGCAGGAGTGGGCCCCATAAACATTTATTCCTGCCTCTTCCTCATGTTGGGGCTCAGTTCCCAGTTTTCAGGAAAGCCTGGGTGCTTCTGTGTTTCTCACTTTGATAGGGATGAGATGCTTCAGAATACACAAAAAGACAATAACGTTTGATCTGGGAAAGGGCAGGAATAGCTGAGTGTAAAGAAGAACAGAATAAAATAGTCAAACAATATTCCTTGAATTGAGAGGACTCCTCTATTCAGTGGATTCTGCACCAGTAGACAGGGATTTTTTAGAGGCTGAATTGGTTATTATTAAGTTGTGCTGTATTAAAGACCCTGCACAGGATGGTAATTAACCAAAGTCAATTCTCTGTGTATTGGTGCTTACTTTTGCTACCCACTCATACCTGATGCCAGTGCCTTGGAGAACTTACCAAGTTCTTGCATGGCAGATAATTGAGAATTACTTTGTTGTGGCTTATGGCTTTTCACAAAAGTAAAACTAAAATAAGGTTTTGTAGCTGTAATGTTGCACTTGAATTCAGGTCAGAAGGGAGTTGCAGTAAAGCTCTGCATGACCTTCCCAGTAAATGTAATTTTTATCATAAATGATATTTAATTGCTAAAGTAATTATAATTGCCTTACTAAAGCCTCCTATTTTATACTCTTATTTTATACAGTCCCTAAAAAGCCTATCAAGGACCTTGATAACACAAAACACTTGCTAATGGTTTTTGGATTATTTTATCTTCCAGTGGCTTGCTTCTTCCTAGTATTTCCTGAGCAGCCTAATTATTGTCCAGTCTCCTCTGAAGGAGAACTTTGTTTCAACATAGTATTAGCACCTGAGCTTTTCTTAGTTTGTCTTTTTAGTTTGTCTTTGCCTGGGTTTTTTTTGGTTTTTTTTTTTTTTCCTTTGTTCTACCTGTTTCAGGAGATCTCACATCTGGTTGTGTTTTGAATTGGGGGAAGAGATCTTAGGAAGTCATGAAAACATGAGAAGAAACTATGAGAAGAAACTATGTTCTGGATGCCTAAACACAAAGAAAAATGAACAACTGTAGTTAGGAATGGTATTTTTGGTCTGTTTTTATCCAGGGCAGCATTTGGACAGTTGAATCTTTTACTGTATTAAATCTTCTAATGAAGGAATAAAGAAGAGGCTGAACAATGACAGGCTGGGAATGCCATCTTTTATTTAGAACAAAAAGAACTGTTGAAAACTGGTTTTAAATAGTTAACTGTGTGTTCTAGTAGTGAATTTCAGAAGTTACAAATGACTGGAGTACTTTTCTCCTATGGAACAGGTAACTGCACCTGAGCACTGCTCTAATGGCAGTAACTGTGCTGGCTGAAGGTGTGATTAACTCTGTCCTTGGAAACCTGATTATTTACTCATGCAAAAATCAGCAATCCAGTACAGTGTGAACTGCTTTAGTCAGATGGAGTGACACTGGGAATTTCCCTTGCACACACAGAGGACAGCACCCATTCCATGATTTATTTAATGTATTAAAGGATAGCACTTCATTCCTTTGGGAACACAATCATTAATTTGAGAGGTAGCAACACTGATTATTCAACATCAGTTTGCATCATCACTATTACTGTTACTGTTACTATTACTATTACTATTACTATTACTATTACTATTACTATTACTATTACTAATTATTTGACATTTCTAAACTTCCTGTTCCTTTTGGAGTCAGTGCATGACTCAAATTGGAAGTGAACCCATAAGGATCATTAAATCCAACTCCCTGCTCCTCACAGGACTGATTAAAACTCAGCCATGTGACTGAGAGTGTGAGAGTGTCCTTCAGATGCTCCATGAGCTCTGCCAGGCTGGGTGCTGTGATCATTTGTTGTTTGGTTTTGTTTTTTTTTTTTTTTTCCTGTGCTGCTGATTTTTTGATAGTTCATATATTTTTATAACAAGATACTTCAGGGGAGTTTTCTAAGTAAAAATCACAAACCTATAGAGAAGAATGAGAATTTTATTAATCTGTGATGGAATATCTGTCTTTTCAGACCCACATTACTGGAGTGTTTTCATAATCCAGGTACACAAATTTTAAAAAGTTTGTTAATGTACCCTTAATGAAGAGAAATTGTACACATGGTTTTTAAGAATATTCTTCCTCAGGTCATTAGTGGAATCCAGGGAGAGGCAGAAACATCATTATATCCGGGAAAATCTTATTTCAGTCCAGAATCCAGGGTCATCCTTTGCTTGTAATTTACTTTCTAGTTCTGCAAGGGCCTGCACAGCAAATCAGGGTTTTCTCCAGAAGAATCTATGCATGGTCACTGATTCAGGAAGAGAATTCTGTCTCATGTAGTGCTTTCTCCAATTTTCCAAGGCATACTGAGAACAAGATATCAAATTATTATTCACTTAATGTTCTTGGACTGGTGCTTAAGTGACTATAGGTGTGTGTATATATATATATATATATATATACACACCCCTGTATATACCCAGGGCAGTTTTTGCTTTTTCAAATCAGAGATGCACAGAGTTGTCTTTAATCCTGCTGAATGTTGCTCTAGTCCTTTATTTTGCTTCCCCAACAGATTAGGTATTGTGTTCACACACTCAATTTCCCTGGTATCCCTTCATTGTTAACAAAGTGCCTTCAATGACTCAGACTTGGAATAACAGCAGAATGTGGTGACTGCTGAAATCACTGATGTAAATGTTCTTTCTCAGATTTTTTTTTTTTTTTTTTGCATTTCAGGTGATATTTGAATCTGTCTCTTTGAAAGGACACCCTGGGTACATCGCTGTGGATGAAGTCAGAGTTCTTGCCCATCCCTGCAGTGAGCACTCTTTATTTTTCTGATTGTACCAGCATGTTCTAGGCCACAGTTTAAAGGGGAGATTTACCCAGTTGGGCCAGCACTAAAATGTCTTTATGTCCCTCCTAGACCCCTAAGGACAGTCAGCCTTGCTTTATTACCTACCTTTGCCAGCTGTGCAAAAGGCAAAGCTGCTCTCAGTTTATAGCTAGTGCAATTCTCTGTTCTTTACTTGTTAATAAACAGATGGGTTTATTATTTCTTAATCTTTTTGCTGTAGAAAACAATCTAAAAAGCTTCTCATAGTAACCTGTGTGGTTAACTTCCGAAAAGAACAACCAAACAAATTGTTTCAGTGTTTCCTTGGTAAGAGGCCTGTCCCAAAGGTCAGTTGGTTTCAACATTAGACCTGCTCAGAAAGCTGTGAAGAGATTAAAAATTTATCTTATTCAGACACTGCATTTACACAGGAGTAGAAACTAATGCAGGTTCATTACACTATTCAAAAATGTTAGTGCTGCATTTTTCTATTGCAGACACAACAATAAGCTGAGATTTATTTGCTTTTTTGTGTTTAAAGAAGCATTGTGCCTCAGTCTTTTGAGTCTGAACTTGTTTGGTTCCTTTACCCACCTTCAGTGGGGCTTGAGGACTTTGTACATTTTATGGATGTAATGTATAGTTACTTGTCAAGATTCTATTTTAACAGCCCCTCTTTCTGGCTCGTGGTTTCAGTAAGTCACTGACAGCTGCTCACAAAAAAACGGATGGCTCATATGGATGGAGTGAAAAAACCTGTTTTTGCTGTGATCAGAATGTCAAAGAACATCTGCCATTCAATGTGACAGACATGGTTCTGCTCAAGTTTAACAGGACATTTCTGATAACTGCATTATGCTTAATTGCTGCTTAAGTAAATTATATTTGTATTTACCATGTGCTCGTTGCTCAGGCCTTTGGGTGCATTTACTTCATTAAGGAATACTTACAGTCTGTATTAAGCAGATGTTGCTGATAACTGGCAGCATCCAGACAAATCCCCAAATGCTCTGTGCCTTCCACAGCATCACTGGTGATCACTGGTCCCTTCACTGGGAAAGAGGCCACTAAACAGACCATGGGGCAGAGTCTCAACAAGAAAATGATGGGATTTAAATCAGTTAGGCAGGATGCTGTGTTGTATCCCTGCTCAATTAAGTAAACTAATTTTGAATCCATTTCTTCAAGTATATGCAAGTCCTTCCTCAAAATTAAGTGTATTCTTGGTGATTCGACAACAAAATGATTCAAATACGATTGGTTGGGGTTTTTTTCAATCTTTTTGCCACCCCCAGCATGCAGAGCTCATTACAAGCTGCAAGTTCTCTGCAGTCTCTTTAACTGCTGCTCCTGTCTGGTTCCCAGTGCTGCTTTTGTTGTTCAGCAGTGACAGTCACCAGGCTAAACATCACCCACGTGTTCCCTTTCCTTGTATAGCCTTTGCCCCTCACATTCCTTTCACAATTGTTGTAAATCAAAACACGGGGACCATGAAGCTCGTGGTGACCCTGGAGGTTACTGGAATCATTGGTCTTATTTCTTCATTTCTGCTTTACCTTCACAGATGACAAAGGCAGGCAAACCAAAGTCAGCAAGAACAATATGCCCCTAATGACACAGTCACACAGAAAAAGAAATGTATTTCTGGTGCTGCCTCTTGTTTTCCTTTGTCCTGTGCAGCAGTACCCTGGAATATCCATTTTCCTTATGCTAAAAGCCCATTGACTCTGTGTGCATGAGGTTTGCCATCACAGCACACCCCATGCTCCAGAAGCTGGGCAGACCTAAGGACCAGGATGTTGGCATTGGTGGGACTCCACACTTTGTATTTGTAGCTGACTTACAGCTGCAAGCACAAATACGAGAATTACCCTGAAATTAGAACGTTCTGAATGTCACCCAGAGGGAGTTTTCCAGTAAACCCTGATGCAAATTCCTGCTGCCCAGAAAGGAGGAAGGTACAGGGTCCCTGCCTGTCCTTCAGTGAGCTGTGTGTTGGATGGGGCACAGGAGCAGATGAAGCCATGTGACACGGTGGACAAACATGTGCTCTCTGTTCATGTGTCAAACACTTGCACATCAAGTTTCAGCCATGCACGGCCACAGATGCCCACATCCCTTTAAGACTGATTCCAACAGGAGAGAGGTTATAATGTCCTCTGACACTGTGTATTTGTGTCTAATCATCCTAGAAAACATGCAGATGATGTTGAAAAACACTGACCTTTTTAGGTGTAAATTTTTTCAGTGTGTCATACTAAAATTTTTCAAATGATGCACAAACCTTTTTCTGAAGCCTTGCAAGAATATAGTTCGCTTAAAGGTGTTGCATTCACTGCTGTAATCTTGTTTATACTTTTAGTTAAATAGAGACCTAACTAAGTCTGATATTTAATCAAAAAGATAATCCTCTCATCTAGTTTCTTTGTGAAAAAAACAATGTCTGCATTTTTAATATCACTGGTTTAATTTTGAACTAATGCTGAATTTAGTGTCAGCAAAACACTGATAACAGTGATCTAAACTAAACCACTGATACAATACTGTCAGTTAAATGAATTTAATATCTGATTTGATATTGATGTTGCATTATTCTAAAGGTCTAGGATGTATTTGATAGTCAAGAAAAGAAAAAGGATAAAAGACCCTTGTGAAAATGAGGTTTAGGTCAGTCATGCTTGACAAGCACAAAAGCATTTGACTTTTTTTGACCTTTTTAGAAACATAGTTTTCTGAAGAAAAGAGATTACTCAATTACTCTTTATAGCAGGCAATAAGAAATTGTGCTGGTGACCATGAACTTGGGGTTTGATCCAAGTCTGTGTTTTCAGAGGTGCCAGGACTCTCTGAGATCCCTCAGGCCACCCTCTCTCATCTCCATCACCACTTCCCTCTGCAGGGAGGAGTTGCTTCATTTTACAAAGCCACGCTGGCAGGGGAAGTGCCAGGGCTCTGCTGAGTGTTTGGGTGGGTGCAGCAGGGTCGGCTCCTGCCTTGCTCTACCCTTGCCACCCCCTCTGGCTCTTTTGTCAGGAAAAGCTCCCCATTTCCTGAGGCTGCAGAACGTGGAGGTGAACGTGGGGCAGAACGCGACCTTCCAGTGCATCGCCGGGGGAAAGTGGTCACAGCACGACAAGCTCTGGCTCCAGGTAAAGCAGTGCCCTGATGGCTTTTCCTGTTTCATTTGGGGCTTTGTTTGCTTTTGCAAGCGAAATAAATTAGCTAGAGGAAGATTGGTGGTGGCGAGGCAAAATGTTTTCATCAGGATCCTTTGAAAAAATGCCTTAAATCACTTCTGGGTGAGAGTTGGAGGTGACTAAGCATGGAATTAGGAGACAGAAGAAGGAAAACATGGCTGGTGACAGCAAAATCCTGGTTCAAACAAATGGCCGTGTACCTCCAAACACTCAGCCAATAAAGCAGAAAAGAGAGGAAGTGGAACAGGTCTCTTCTGCTTTATTATGCCATCTGCTTTCCTTTCACCCTCTAAAAATGTTCTCAGCCTGGATTAGGTGGGAATTGTTAAGAAGGAAATCTCCAAGGTCTGAAATGACTTAGCTGGGTGGTTAAAATAGGCAAACCCAGTTTGCACCCAGTTCTTGCTCCCAGTTTCCCTTGGCTGTGTTGACAGCAGATTTGGTCTTGTTCCTTTTAGTCACTCACGAAAAGACCAGAACATTCCCTCCCTGGATGTCTTATTTGCAGCCTACTGATCAAACTTGTCTGGGTCCTGCTTTTCCAGTGGGTACAGCAAAAACCTTGGGAATTCATGATCAGTGTTAGAATTTGAAAAGGAACAGACACCAAGCCCAATATCAGCACATGGTGTGTATGTTTCCCAGTGAAGGACAAGAATTTCTCCTGCCCCTTGAATTTTTCTGTCATGTGGACTCCCAGCATTACCATTCCAGAAGCTTTTAAAACCATTGAGTTCCTAAATGTTTAACACCCAAACAAGTCAAGAGGATTCTTGTTGTACGTATGTAGGGCCAACATAATTTTCTCAGCTTGGACTGATGTGACTGAGGGTTTGATCATCCCATAGTTGTAACATCTGGGGCAGACAGGAAGGGCCTTTGTAGTCAAATAATTACCAGATTTTATCAAATTTTATAATTGGCTTCAGGCATTTTAATAAAATTTAAAAAGAACATTTTCAAATCTAGTTTAAATCAAGGAATTGGCTTATCTAATCATGAAAATTAGAATTAGTATTGGGAAAAAGGCTTAAGTTGTTGAGACATGTAGTTTGCATTATATAAAAATGATTTTGCATTCAGTAACTATGCTCTCATCACAGCTCTTCTCCTAAAATTACATTTTTTAGCGTAAATTTATTTACCTATGGTGTATGTCTAGCACCCATCGGAGATGTATTTTAACTTATTTTATCTTTTTTGTGTTCTTTCATTAAAATATTTCCCCAGTTACAATTAGATGTGTGTAAAAACAATTCTGACCTGCAGCAGTATGAACCTTTCCCCATGAGAAGCAGAGTTTGTGGAGGAAAGAATTGCTATTGTTAATGAAGACCTGCTTTCCATTCTCTAAAACTGCAACATTTGAGGAAAACAGCCTTGGAAACACCCCTAAAAATAGTTTAGTGGAAACTGCCAAAACAGCAATGTGCTTTCCTTTGAAATTCCTAATAAACGAGAGCAAGTTGAGGTGCTTATATTGTGGAAAACAATTTCTGGTTAATTCTTTGTCTGTCCCTTTTCCAGTTGGAAAAATGTGGTCTGGCATTGGTAGAGAGGTTTATTGGGGAATGCTGAATGTACAAGGATGTCTGCTCATGCAACCAATTTATTTAAGTTGGTCCAGAATCAGAGCTCTGCATCTGAAAAGGCCAAATTTACAGAATCTGTTCGTTTGTGGTGTTTTCCCAGGTGAACACAAAGCCTTCAGCTGTTGTGTTTTCACATCCAAATTACACTGTGTGAAACTGCTCGGTGGCAGTCAGAGCTGCCACTCTGCAGCCTTTGCAGGAACTGATCTTAGAGATTATCCTGGGCTGGGAGGGACCCCCAGGATCAGCCAGGGCAGCCCCAGCCCTGCACAGACACCCCAACACCCCCACCCTGAGCATCCCTGGCAGCTCCTGGAGCTCTGGCAGCCTCGGGAATGTCACCATTCCCTGGGGAGCCTGGGCAGTGCCAGCACCCTCTGGGGGAGGGAAGAACCTTCCCTGATATCCAACCTAAACCCCTCTGACACAGCTCCAGCTGTTCCCTGGGTCCTGTCACAGGGAGCAGAGATCAGACCTGTCCCTCAGGAGGAGCTGCAGCCCATGCTGAAATGTCTGACCTCAGTCTCCTCTTTCCCACTCTGACCAAGCCAAGTGTCCTCAGTGTCCTGCCCTTCATATGGGTTCCTTTTCAGACCCTTTGCCCTCTTTGTATCCTTAGAACATGCCAAAAGTCTAGACATAGCTCAAATATTAAATAGAAATGCAAACTTGACTATGTCATAGAATCACAGGTTTGGGTTGAAAGGGACCTTAAAGCCAATTTAGTCCCACCCCCTGCCATGGGCAGGGACACCTTCCACTGTCCCAGGCTGTTCCAAGCCCCATCCAACCTGGCCTGGGACACTGCCAGGGATCCAGGGGCAGCCACAGCTGCTCTGGGCACCCTGTGCCAGGGCCTCACCACCCTCACCTATGTATAAGAATATTCAGGGCTGAGCTGCCACAGCCCTGTGGATTTTCTGAGGGACTGGCCGAATTCTTCTCTTGAAAAGCTGTGCTTGTACAAAACCTCTCCCAGCACTGCGAACACAGGGCTCTGACCCGAGTTAACCACCCCAAGGAGCGAATTACACATGGCTACACCAACACACAACCCGCCTGTCTCATTACTGCCTTATTTCTCTGTGCCTCTGCAGCAGTGGAACGGGAGGGACACAGCCCTGATGGTCACTCGAGTGGTCAACCACAGGCGTTTCTCAGCCACGGTCAGCGTGGCCGACACGTCCCAGCGCAGTGTCAGCAAGTACCGCTGTGTCATCCGCTCCGACGGCGGCTCCGGCGTCTCCAACTACGCCGAGCTCATCGTCAAAGGTAACAGCAGCAAGCCAGCACACTCCTGCCACAGCAGCCACCCATGAAAACTGGCATTCTGGTGGACCTGCTTCCACTCGTGTTCAGTAAAAAGGGTAAAAGTGATAGGAGTTTCGGTATCTTGAATATTTGAATTTAAACTTGGGGTTCTTTGTAAACTTCTCTAGTAAAGTATGGTGGCTATGGAGATTTTTACTGTAGTTAGGTGAACAGTTTGGCTGTCAGTCAGCTTCACCTGCTTTCCTTTCTAGTATTTTATCAGGCAAAAATAATCCTGTGGTGGAGCTTTGCATGTCAGGAGAGACTGCTCAGGGCTGCTGGCAGTAAATGCTGGGATTGATTCTGCTGATGCCCTGAAGTCCAGACTGCAATCTTCAGTAGTTCTGGAAGGGTGTTTGGATTTTAGCCATGTTAATTACTGTGAGTCAAGAGCCTGAAATAGGCAAGGTGTGTCTTAATCTCACCTTCACAGGCAAGTGGTGAAGTGCTATCCCCCTGTGCTGGGTTCTTATTTATTTACTTTTTAAACTTACCTTGAGCTGCACCACAGGAGTACTCACTGACTCTTAGGTGGTGAGTTCAGAAGGTGGCTGAGTTGTTCCTGAACCTCTCTGTGTTTGGGATGAGAGGAATTTGAAGTCTGGGTCTGCTCATGGGGTATAATTTACTGATCTAAATGGAGGGTATGAAAACGGAGGGCAGCTGCAGAAACAACATTAATCTGTGCTGTTTTCTATGAACTGACTCTGTTCTTTGGTGGTCAGATGCCTTTGTTATGTCTTGGAGTTTTGTGTGGTGCAGATATTTCGATGACACAGATCATGAGGAGAATGCTTGTGCTGGATGCCAGGTGATTTTAATTCCCACCCAGTGATCTTGTGTCTTGTTTAAATCTGGAGGAATTAGTTAATGACTTAAAGGGAATTGAGCTGCCAGGAGGGGCACACCTAGGTCTGTACCACAGCTAAACAGAGGGAAGGCAGCCTTCCAGAGCCAGAAAATATCAGAGCATCCCAGGCTCAGTTAGATGCCTGGAACTTCATGTTTGTTGATACAAGCAGGGAAAAAGTAGAATTAAAGCCAAGAATGGCTGGATGTCCAGCAGGAAAGACGGTGATGGCTTCATTGCTGGATTGCAATGCACCTACCTGGAAGAAACTTTAAGAGGATAAAATTGTTGTGAGAAGGTCCTGTCCTGCTCCTCATCCCTGATTAGGATGCAGAGAGGTTAAGTGGCTCATTTGAGGTCAGTTTGGTGCCACTCTGTGACACCTTTGACTGGGACTTCCAACCAGCCTGACCAATTGTAGTGTGAATAATAGCAAATTCGTAATGCATGTGCACAGGCAGAAATGAAAGCAAACTGGAATTGTTTCATTCTGAAGAGATGATTATTGAATTGTAATAATGTATTTGAGTATACATTCAGTTAGCCTGCAAGTGAGGTTTTGCTCAATTCATAGTCCTGCTCCTGAACCTGCTAAATCTCTGTTTCTCATGTGCTTTCTCTTGAGCAGAGGAATATAAAAGCACAGGGTATTTCTTCAACAAAGATTAAGATTTAAAAGTGTGTCTATGTAATCTTTTTAATTGAAATATTTGTTTGCTTCCCTATGCATAAGAAGTTTTACTGGCGTATTTAGAACAGAAAGTAGTTTACACTATTCAATATTGAATGAAAAAGTTTGGTAGATATCAAAATAGAGGTTTTACTTTGAAATGTGCATACTCCTAAACCCCAAATTGGACAGTAAATACCTGTTTCAGCAAACGGAATGATCAGTGAAATTAAATACATACCACCTTGCTTGTCTGTGGGCACCTAAACTAAGAGCAGTGTATTATTGAAAAGAAATTACTGGCAATCTTATACAAAAGAATATAATAGTATTAGTTCCAAATTATTCCAGTATGTTTAGTGGCAGGAGATACATTTGTAATCGTGTGAAAATGCTGTTCTCTAGTCAGCTATTTGCTGTATGTGCTAATGCTTCTCTGTCTCCTGGCTTATATAAATGACAATACATTTATTCTTCTCTTTGCACTCTCCAATAATAATGGGCCAGAAAAACCTATCATTTCCATCTGCACCCCTTGCCATCCTTTGGTGCTCCAGTGGAAATAGCTCTTCTCTATTTCTTCTCTCTCACTCGTGCACATATAGTAATTTAATACAATTTTGTACAGGGCAGTTTAAAAAAAACCCCAGAGATTCTCTGTCTCGCTACACTACTCACACCTGAATGGAACTTACCTTGCCTGTAATTTTCTTTTAAGTAAAAGCTGCGTGGCAGTTACTGTATTCTGAGCAAAATGTGGGCCTTGCTTGTGTGAAGATTGTTTAAAATACTGTGGAAATTGGCTAGGATTTTATCATTCAAGGTCTGTGTTAATGCTGGTGTCCTTTCAGGACACTTGTCACATTAGGTAAGGCTATGGACAACATTTTAAACTGTGTGGGGGTGTATGGAGGACTGTTTGCAGCTGGTTTTTTCCTTGATCCCTTTCACATACTCTGTATGCCCAAATTAATCACTCAATATATGATGGGAATCCGTGCAGAGCTGATAAAGAGGGAATATTACAGCACCTATAACCTATTTTTATGAGCCAATTCTTCTGAGATTTTCACTCTCCAGAAGCCTCTCAAAATTATTTTTCTGCTACCTGTTGCTACTTTAACATTCTTTTAGGGCTCCTGGTGTTTTCTTAGGGTCTGTTCTGCTACTATAGGGGTAGAGGAACCTGCTGAGCCTCAGCACAGCCTCTCTGCAGACCTCCAAGGGTATGTTCTAGTTCTCTTCAGATTTGTCTTAGTTTTTTTTCAAAGTGTTTCGTTGAAAAAATAACCTGTCTCTTACCTGAGAGGCTTTCTGTCATGGCTGTGATATTTGGGACAGCTCACTTTTTCTTTTATCAAGCTTTTATCAGTCACACGAGGAGCTGATGCCTTGAGTGACACCAGAGGGAGAGGTGGGTTCCTTGTCACAGTTGTTTACCATTGTCTCTCTGGGTCTCTTCTGGTGTGATGCTTGTCACTGTAATTCCACCATCTGTTTATTAACTCACCAGGTACAAACTGAAATCTGCTCGAGTGATTGAGTCTCTTCCTAAAAACAGGAAACAGAATTTACAAAAAAAACCCCAGCCCCAAACCACAAAACAGAGGAAAACGACATAGACAAAAACAGTGAACTGAATAAAAAAAAATAAAAAGGTCAAATTGTTGGAATTGAGATATTTGGGTGTGAAAAACATGATAAATAATTACCTATTTAAAGAAATCCTTATATGGAAGCTTCTCCAGTATGGAATATGCTGTGAAAATTTCAGATTTACAGTTCTAAGACAGACTCATAAAGGAAAAGCTCTACAGGTATTTTGGCTGTCTCAGTATTTTTAACTGGAGTTGACTCCTGAATACTTTGAGTTAATTATTCAACAGCAGGAAATACTACTAGGAGAAGGAATTTTCTGGAGCTTAAAAGTCATAAAAAATGAAATTATCTTTATTCTTCAGCTGAGCCTGATCTTGGGCTGGAGCTGGTTCTTGAAATGTCACATCAAGCTGTCCATTGATTTCCTTGCAAACACTGTGGGTATGAAAGTATGTGATTCATTTGTGTGTAAAGTACTCTGCATTGTCTTCCTGGGGTGAAAAAATAGTTGTCTTCCATGTAATCATAGAGGAGACTCACCAACTCCAAAGATTTTACTTCCTATGAAGCTGTTATGGAAAGATGTGATGAATATGAAAAAGACCCTTTAAATATTTTCTGTATCATTTGTTTTGGTTTTTTTTTAATATTTTCATGCCTGATACACAAATAATTCTATATCCTGAGATACTCATGCCAAATGTACTCATTAAAACAGACATAACATCCTGGCCATCATGGGTAATGTATCCTCTGTGGGTGATGCTCAAGTCCCCATGCTTCACCTGGGAGATGGGGCTGTTAATATGAAAAGCAGGTTCTGTATGGCACCTGTCCTCTTTTAGGTGGGTGGCTGTAAGGCCGTGTCCTTCTGTCCCTTAGAACTCTTTGGGAGACAAGCTCAGCTGTGACACGTGTGGTTTGGATTTTACTGTTAAAAAAAGCGCATTTTTTTCCATGTGCATTAATACGTAGCTGGCAGGTGTGTGTGACAGCCACAGCACGAACACTTCGTCCATGCCAGACCCAAGGGAGCAGCGCTGGAGAACCAGGAGTGACCCATCCCCAGGGCTGAACCTGATTGGTCAATTCAAACCCAAACAGGGCGCCCCAGCCAATCGCTGTGCGCCAGCAACGCCCCCGTGTCATTGGCCAGTGAGCTGGGCGGGGCCAAGGCTCGACCAATGGCGTGCGAGAGCGGGAAATTCAAAGCTCTGTGTGAGAGAGCGCAGGGATGAGCTCGGCCTGTCCCCACCCCTGTCCCCATCCCTGTCCCCACCCCTGTCCCCACCAGCAGTGACAGGTGTGAAGATCCCTGTCTGAATTTATCACGTTCATCCAGATCACAGAGGTTTCTTTCTGGGCACATTTCAGTAAATCTGCCTGAGCTCTGCACATGAATAGGTTGGAGTCTGTCAGGAGTCTCTCTGAAGAATTCAGAGAGAAATCAGTGCAGGGGTTGAATTAAAACCTTTGGGGGGATTGAAGTGTGTTAAGCCACTCACATACAAGGCAGAGGTGAAAGTCTAGGTTTTAGCATGAGTGAGCAAGTGAGTAGATGGAATGAGTAAGTGAATAGATGGAAAGAGTAAGTGAATAGATGGAATGAGTAAGTGAATAGATGGAATGGGTAAGTGAATAGATGGAATGAGTAAGTGAGTAGATGGAATGAGTAAGTAAGTGGAATAAGTTTTAAGTGCTTTTAGTGAATAAAGGTCTTGGATGCCAGAGAAAAGCAGTACATGTTCTAGTGAAGGTTGAAAACCATAGTCTTAGATACTGGTGTTTCTGTGGAGGCTCTAAGAACTTAGTTTCAGACATAATAAAGTTATAGTTAAGAAT